CTGAGCGATACAAGATTGGTTCGCTACGCACCTGCGCTGAAGACATCATCACGGAGAGACAGAGTTGGGCGATACGAGATTGGTTGTGCGGTCCAAGACGAAGTAGCGGCCATAGCCGCGGAGCTCGGGACATGGAGGAGAGAGGAAGGTGAAGTAGAGAAGGGAGGAGAGATCGCAGAGGGAGGAGGAAGGAAGGATAACGAAGTTGAAGACAGACATAGCTGAGGGTGAAAAAAAAAAAAACAGAGAGGGCGAAACAGAAGAAAAGTGGAGGAGAAAGAGAAGTGAGGTTGGCCAGGAAGAAGGTGCCAGCAGCCATAGCCGACTTGGAGGTTGACCGGGCGTTGACCGGGCATTGACCGGAGGGTTGACCAAGCGTTGACCAAGGGTTGACCAGGCGTTGACCAAGCGTTGACCAAGCGTTGACCAAGCGTTGGCCAAGCGTTGGCCAAGGCGTTGACCAGGAGCTGTTGACCACGATTTGGACCAAGCTGGAGTTGGTATAATCTCGCCAAGCCCTTAGCCTATCCCCTCACCCTATGGATGTGCACTCACCCTATGGTACTTGCTGAGTCTGAGTCTGTCTGTCTCTTCTTTCTGCATTGAGATAGGACTCCGTGTATGAAGGATAGGGCCTCGTTGACCAAACCCACACGGGCTGAATAGGGCTAAAGACTGTGTCTGACGACTCGACTGTCTCGGAGGACACGAACCCTCCCAAGGACTGGTACTAACTGCGGGCTGCTCGGTGTGGCACGGTAGGCCCAAAATCCGAGCTGTGGGCTGCACAACAGGCTTTCTAAGTCTTGAGAGAACCTGCTGACCGCGTCGTCCTGTCTGCGACGTCAAAGCATTCCTGAGGAGTTACGGGGGATCTCCTTAAATGCCTCCTGGTCAGCAACAGGTTTTGTAGTGATGGCGGTAGTGATTAGAGTATAGGCTAGAGACCATAGTTGACATGATCCAGTCCGGATCCAGTGGTCCTTAGATTGAGTCAGTAGGTCGTGTCAGTTAGAGGGTAGGTCTAAGTGGTGAGGAGTGGGACAGTCTCTGTCGTGCATGTATGGCTTGCTTGTGGGGTTCTCCCTGTGGGGGACCCTCTGGCGTCTCCTCTTCCCTCTGGGATTCTGGAACACCTTTACGTGCAGAGTAGACACGAGGGGTGGTACGACTACCAAGCCTTACACAGAAGAACAGGAGGCGAAAGCCGCCGCCCTCCTGAAAGAGAGAAAAGAAAAGAAAGAGGCCAAGAAGAAGGCCCTGATGGAGGAACAAGTGGCGAAGTTGAAGAAGATTGAGGAGGAAATGGCSAGAGAGAGAGAGAGGCTGAGAAAAGAGCAGGAAGAGAAGTTGAAGGCGGTAGAAGAAGAGGAAGAGGTAGAAGAAACGCCACAGGAGAGGAGAAGAAGGGGGCAACGAGGTGAATCTAGTGGTACGAAAGACGACCAGATGGAGAAGAAAATTACAGAGTGGGTTGCTGGTTTATCCCTGGGGGAAGAAGAGGAGGCACTGACGTATGTGCCTAGGGAAGAGCAAGAGGCCGCCATGAAAATGTGGGATGCAGAAGAAGACCCACTCAAGCGGCAGGCGATAGAGGATGAGAAGAGGATGGAGTGGAAATTCCGATTGATGAGGGAGAGGAAAAGGAGAATGGAGGCGGCGAGTGAGGCGGCGAAAGAACTAGAGGAGGTGAAGAAACAAAGAGAGCAGATGGCGACGCAGGTGGCCCTATTGGGGAAGATGGAGATAATGGCGAGGAACATAAGAGCACCTGGCACAAGTCCGCCATCTTGAGAGAAAAGAAGGAGAAGATGGAGAAGGACCTTATTTAGCAGGCGAAGGTGCTGGCTTTGATGGAGGAACAAAAAGCCAAGCAAAACAGATGGTGGAGGAGTTGGAAACGTGGAAGAAAGAGCAGGAGGAGAGATTGGCGGCTATAGAGGCAGAAGCAGAAGCAGGAGCAGAAAAAGAAGAAGTAGAAGAAGCAGAGGAGAGAAGATAGAGGGGAATCCAGTGGGGCGCGAGAGAGCAAAGCCAAGATGGAGAGGATGGCGAATAAGTGGGTAGCCAATCTGGCACTGGGGGAAGAAGAGGAAGCCATGTTGATTGTCCCCCAGGCAGAATGGGAGGCAGTGATGAGGGAATTGGAGAAGGAGAAGAACCTCGTGCGCGGACAAGCCAAAGAGGATGAGCAAAAGTTAGAATGGAAATTGCATTTGGCAAGGGAAAGGGCCGGGCGATTGGAGGCGGCCGAGAAAATTGAGAGGGATTTATAGGCTGTTGAGGTACAACGAGAGCAATTGGGGGTGCATGAAGATCTCCAAAAGAAAGTAGAGATTTTGTCTCAGAATATAGAGGTGATCCTGAGGGCCCAACATGAACAATTGCGCTATTTAAGAGGCCATGATATTGCGTTACAGCCCATCCGCATAGGATTCAAAGATTTTGCAAGGGATATGATGATGCGTGTGGGCACTGAATTGCGCGCTGCCATGGAGGGGACAAAGAGGTTCTGCGCAGGTGCCATTGAAGGTGCCAAGATAGCGGCCCCCAGAGAAAAAGAGGCATGGCCACGAAGATAGCGCTTTAAAGTTCCCTAAGTCGTATGGGGGGAAGAAGGGGGAAGATTTTGACAATTGGGAATCCAACATTAATTCTTATTTGCACCTACAAGATATCGCCCCTAAGAACCAATTTCTAGTGGCTTTCCACGCCCTAAAGGATGAGGCGCCCAACTTTGTCAGGTCGCTCGCCCGTGCTGCCAAGTGCGAAAATGATATGGTCGCATACTCCGCCATCACTCATTTGAGTGAATTCTTGAAAGCCCTCCATGAGAGATTCGCAAATGTCACTAAGGGCCTTAGGGCCTCTTACAAACTGCAAACTGTCCACACATGAGAATGGAAGAGTGCTAGAGCACTCAAGGCTGCCATGGACGAACTCGTCGCTATCCCTGGCCATGGCGCCGCTGAGCATCAGTTGGTCCAGCTATTCTATCGCGCCATGCCCAAGACTTTACACGGGCACTTCTTTGACAAGAAGCAACTGCGCAACATGAGATATGACACACTTAGTAGGGAAGTTGTTGCTTTCGAGGCCCAAGCCACGCCAATTACCACTTTCTAGCGCAAGGACCTTGCCAAAGGTAAAAAGTGAAAGGGCAGACCATATCAGGCCAAGTAAGGGCCAAAGATCATCTTATTCTTACTTAAGATGAAGGTGGTATGGAAGAGGTCCCTTATAGCGAGATTGAGTGGGGCCTCGACGAGGAGGACAGTAGTGAAGGTCACGGAAGGACCTACGTTGTTGTCGTGGCCGGAGGGAGGCCGCAAGGAAGAGGAAGAGGCCGGAGCCAAGGGGGTCAGGCCTTCGGTGGTCGAGGATAGGGCGGCCAAGGGGTTGGCGGCAGGGGAACCCGCCAAGAGGGAGGAAGGGGTCAAGGTCCCCCGTCAAACCGTCCACGTTCCAATCGATCACCTCGTAGAAGGGGTGAATGGCACCCTGGTCTTGGAATCGTTGGGCTTGGAACAAACTATGTGGCAAAG